GCCCTCCAGCGCCGTCTCCCCGCCCGCGTCGCGGCTGCGGTACAAGAGGTCTCTCTGCTGGTGTTGACGCCGTGAGTCACGTGCAGACAAAAGCCATCCTCCTTTCACCGTTAGAGTCAGCCTCTCCGAGGACTGGGGTCCTCAGCCCTCCCAGGTTGGTACAGGTGACTCTAGTGTGAGGTTTCTTTCCTGCACGTGCCGGTTGAAAAGGATTTAGGATCTTCATGCTCCCCCTCGGGCTTGCTGGTTTTAACACCCTGAGTTTTCTTTCATTTAACTTCCATTTGGTTTTCACTTTTCAGAATGCTCAGAGTTGTGAAAACGAAGGTCCCTTCAGTGGGCGTTTCTCTAATAAGAGGATTCCTCCTTGTCCAAAATACAGAGTCCTGGTCCCCAGCACCCGAGTGCCTGACTTAGAAGATCTGGGGTGGGCTCTGAAATCTGCTTAACGAGCTTCCTGTTAATTCTGATATAAATGATCCACATTGAGAGAAACACAGCTCTACACCCTGCATTTCCTGAGAGCAGGGGCCGCATCCAGACCCGCCACCACCGTGTCCCTGCCCCAGGCAAAGCTCCCGACAGTCACGGGTGCACCACGAGCACGGCGGGCAAGCGCACGTCCAGCGAGCAGGTGTGAGCAGGGGCCCCAGGTCCCCTGGCCCTGTGGGGCCGCCTCTTACCGCCCAAGGCCTGGCTCCACGTTCCGACACCCCCGGGAAGCCAGCGTGCTTTCCAGCGCGTCTGAGAGCGGAGGGGCGAGGCGTAGAGGGAGGGGGCGCCTCCCTGTCGGGTCCTCTCATCTTGCTCTGTTACCCATGCCCTTCGCATCCTGCCTCCGGGCCCGCGGTGGTCTCCCCCAGCTTCACCCCAGGCAAAGACAGCCCTCACCTCACTTCCCAAGGTGAAGTTCTGCGTTCAGCTCCTTTTACTGATGGCATGCTGAAGAAGGGAGAGAGATCCCAGCAGGAAACAAAATAACCTTAAGTATCAGAGATCACTTGCCTAAGGTTTCTTGAACAACTCTGCCATTCGGAATCGTGGTACATCTTCTCGGCCCTTTATCCACCACTCTATTTTGGGAATGCCTCTCTGTCAAGGGTCTTTCCAGGCCTGGCCTCCTCTCCTTCCTGGTTCCCGCCTCCACAGATGGCTTCTGAGATGGGGCAGGAGGCAGCATTCCTGGGGCCGGGCCTCCTCGGGGCTCTTAACACACATTTGTCATCAGTATTGCAGAGAGACTTGCTTTGTTATAGATAATGTTCCCCAACTACTTTTTGAAAACCAAAACTTTATAAACAGGAGTGCTCTTGAATCTAGAATAAGCTGAGCTCCTGGTGCACAGAAATCAAGGCTGTGTTTCAGGGTCCCTACTTAGAAGACCATTCACATAACTGTCTACTATGGGATCCGGGCCTCCAGCCGCAACCAGGCACTGCCCTTCCCTACCCAGAAACAGTGCACTCAGGAAGGTCACTTCCAGGTGAGCTGTGTTTATGGATCTGTCTTCCAATTGTAATCCTGTCCAGCTTCTGTTTGGCTTATCACTTAACTACTGCAGTGAAACCAAATGAGAGAAAACCCAACATTAGTTTATAAGAAAAAGTTGATGTTTCCAGGTCAATAGGAGATACTTTTAAACCCACAGTAAAAAAATATACTTGCATCACCCTGAAGTCACATAAGGTGCAACCGTTTACTAATTAACCCTCTGGTAAAGAACATCTACAAAAACCCACAGCTAACATCGTACCTAGCGGTGAAAGACTGGTGGCGTCCTAACCCTCCTAAGACAGGGACAGGCCAGGGTGCCTGCCCTCCCCACTCCAGTTTGGCAGAGCGCTGGGCGTTCTAACCAGTGCAATTAGGCAGCGGCAAAAAGGATGTTAAAGGCAGACGGATTGGAAAGGAAGAAGTAAGACTTTCTGTATTTGTAGATAACATGATTGTTTATGTAGAAATCCCAAAGAAATCTATAAAACATTCCTAGAGGTAGTAAGTAAATTCAGCAAGATTGCAGGTTACGAAGTCAACACACAAAAACACAGTCCCTTTCTGTATACTAACAACAAACAAATGCAATACCATTTATAATTGCTCCAAAAAATGTAGTATTTAGGTATAAACCTAGCAAGACAGGTATAAATCTAGCAAAACATGTACAGGGTCTGTATGCTGAAAACTACAAAACACTGGTGAAAGCAGTCAAAGAAAACCTCAGTGATTGGGGAGACTGTTCATGGACGGGAAGACTCAACACAGCAACGATGCCAGTTCTCCCCAAATTGATCTATAGATTTAATGCTATTCTTATCAAAATCTCAACAAGACTTTTTGTAGACAAAGATACGCTTATAATAAAACGTTATGGCAATATACAGGCCCCAGAATAGCCACAGTCATTTGGGCAAAGAAGACTAAAATGGGAAGAGTCATCATTCTTCTAGAGCTAAGGATACAGCTACGTTAATCACAACCATGTGATTTTGGCAGACGGACAGACATAGATCAGAGGGTCCAGAAACAAGCCAACACACACGTTCTCAACTGATACTTCACAAAGATGCAGATACAGTTCAGCAAAGGAATGAGAGCCGTTTGAACAAGCGGTGTTGCAGCAGCTGGGCATCCACGGGCCAGAAAACAAACCTCGACATGACCGTCACCCCCTATGCCCAAATTAACTCAGGATGGATCATGGGCTTAGCTGTAAATGTACAGCGATAAAGCTTTTAGAATGAAAGCCGTAGAGGAAAACCTGCAGGACCTCGGACAGGAGGAGCGTTCTTGAGCTTGGCATCAAGAGCAAAACACACAGAAGGAGAACTTGGCAAACTGGACCTCATCAACATTTTTTTAAAAAGTTTTGCTCTGTGAGAAACCCTAAGAGGATGAAAAGGCAAACCCTGGGGGCAGGTGGGGTGGACACAAACCACGTATGTGACAAAGCCCTTGTATCTAGGTCACATAAAGAAATCTCAGAACTGAACAGTGAGAAACAAATAATCCAATTAGAAAGTGGGCAGAAGACCTGAAGAGACGTTCCATAGACGAGGTTACACCGACGGCCAGTGAGTGCGTGAAGAGGTGTTCAGCATCATTACCACTGAGAAATGCAAATAAAATCCGCAGTGAGATGCCACTGCACACCTACGAGAAAGAGCAAATTCAAAAAGTAGTGATACCGTGGAACCCAGATCACGCCTTCACAGCGAACGTGGCTGTGGAACGGCACGGCCACTCTGCTAAAGAGCTTGGCAGTTTCCAAACTGACAGAACTAAAGCTGAAATGAGCTGTAACACAACCGAGCAGTTACAGCGTGAAACGTCAGCCTCATAGAAGCGAGGATGCAGGTTTGCAGAGAAACTGGAGTGAGTGAGCACAGCAGCTTCGTTCCTAGCAGCCGAAAACGGGACCGCTGACTTGCTCCTCGGAGGCAAAGAGCTGAACAGAGTGGTGCAGCGCCACTGCAGAGCGCTGCTCGCAGCACGAACAAGTAGACGCGGGTACGTGCGGCAGCCCGGACAGACCTCGAGACGGTTACGTTGAGTGAAGAAAGCCAAGCTCAAGAGATGGCCTACAGTGTAAAACTGCTCATGCGACACCCCTGGAGTAACCAAACTAAAGAGACAGAGAGCAGACTGGTGGTCGCTGGCGGCTAGGAAGCGGGGTGTGAGTGATGGAGACGCATATCTTGCGGGTGGTGGTCCGTGACGCCACCCAGGTGGTAAATTGCATGCGGTGACACACGCACACGTGCACACGCACACAGGCGAATGCGTGTGTAACTGCAGAATCTGAGAAAGATCCGTGGGTTGCGTTGGAGTCGGTGTCTGGGGCTGACGCTGTGCTGCAGCCTTGCAGGACAGTGCCATCAGGGAGGACGGTGAAGGGTGCACAGGACCTCCCTCTGCATTTCTTTGAAACTTCCTGTGAATCCATAATTGTGTTCTATGTACCAGTAACAGAGAAAGAGAGATAAACAGTTAAAACTTCAACTTTTAACAGTAAAAAGTGAAAAAGAAAGGATGCCATTTGCGTTAGAATCTTTTTAAGAAAACCCAAAACTCAAATCTCCAGAACGACGTGAAAGGCCATACACTGAGGACTACAAAGCTGCACTGAGAAATTGAAGGACTTGTAGCTGAATTGAGGAGATGCCTCATTTTGGATTAAAAGTCTCAAAGTTGTAAAAAGATGACAGTTATCTTCAAATTGATCTATAGATTTCATGCAGTCCCAGTAAAAATCCCCCCGAAATTTCTCCAGTTGAAATTGACAAGCTGATTCTAAAATGTATAGCCCTCCAACCCCCATTGGGGAGGGGCCAAGAATAACCAAGTCAAACGTGAAGAAAAAGTAAGCACAGAGGATTCATGGCCACATATCAAAGTATGAAAAAGTTGCAGTAATTACACGTATTAGTGGAGGAATAGACAAATGGGCGATGGAACAGAATAAGGAGTCCAAAAAAGACGAACATAGGCAGAGCGATGGTAGACAGACAGACAGACAGATTTGGTTTATGAAAAGGGTGACATTGCAGAGGGGACACTCTGGTCTTTTCAGTAAATGGTGGGTGCTGGTTAATTTCACACCCATCAGAAAAGAATGAATGTTGACCCATATCTCATACCATAAATAAAAATCAGTTCTGGTTGGCTTGTAAAGCAATAAAAACTAAAACAGTAAAGCGTCTGGAGTTAAACAGGAGGCTGCCTTCACGACTCTGGAATAGGCAAGCGGTGCCTAAATGGAAAATAAAAACTGCACTGTGGGAAAGCAGACACATCAGACATCAGAATAAAGACCATCTCTTCATCAAAAGACACTGTCAAGAGAACGAAAGGCAAGCCCAGAAATCAGGAACAGAGGGCCCGACCCCAGAATGTGTGAGAACTCCTGCCCCCTCGAAGGGAACGCAGCTCGATGGAAACAGGCAAAGGGCGTGACGTGGAGTTACAGCCACAGTGAGGACTTCTGCAAACCCAGGAGAACGGTGAGAAGAAGAATGCTTACAGTGCCCAGTCGGAAAGGACACAGCTACTGGTGGGGGTGGGAGTCGGTGCCCTGCTGGGGAAGATGGTCTTCCTGTCTCTCCTGAGCCCGAACACACAGGAACCTCGTGTTGCAGCCGCCGCAGGTGTCGCCTGCGTGCACCTAGGCCTAGCCTCGCACAGAGCACACAAATCTGAGAAGACGTGAACCAGAATGTTCACTGCAGTGCTGTCTGTGACAGGCAGTGTGCACGCCACTACCCCAGCAGGAACACGTGAAGGCATCGTGATGTATTTGTGGGTTGGACTGTTGCACGTTCTGTGCGCGGATTCTCACTACGTGCAGAGACATCAAGGATCCACTCAAACACCACAGCGGATGAAGCAAGCCGGACATGAAAGCGTCCTTCATGACTTCATTCACGAAACCCTCAAAACCGTCAAAACTAGTCTCTGGTGTTAGAAGTCAGGACAGTGCACATTTTGGGGTCAGGGGTGTGAGGGGGGCCTTTGACTCTTGATCTGGGTGCTGGTGACAGGAGTGTAGGCCTTTTGTGAAAACAGATCCAGGTGAAGGCTCATGATTTGCATACACTTCTGGAGGTTTGCTAAATGTCATTGAAAAATTTACTTTGAAAAACACAAAGTGCCATATTAATGTTATTTTATTACCACCACAAATTGGGTTTTAGGACATTTAATTGTGCTCCTGTGAAAGTCGACCTAAGCCCTTTCGAAAGGCGTCCTTAAATTCTTTGTTCCTCAGACAGTAGATCATGGGGTTCAAAATAGGGGTGAGGACAGTGTACACAGCAGAGATGAGCTTGTTGGAGCTGCGGGAGTCAATGGCCTGGGGCCGGACGTACATGAAGATCATGGCCGTGTAGAAGATGGTGACCACGGTGAGGTGGGAGGCACAGGTGGAGAAGGCTCTCCACCGGCCAGTGGTCGAGGGCATGCGCAGGACGGCCAGGGCAATGTGTCCGTAGGAGAACACAGTGACTGTGAGCGGGGACACCAGGATGATGAAGGCCAGGATGAAGTCAACCAGCTCCGCCATCGAGAAGTCTGTGCAGGCCAGTTTGAGGATGGGCGAGATGTCACAGAAGAAGTGGTTCAGGACGTTGGAGCCACAGAACGTGGCACTGGAGATGAAGCAGACCTTGATCACGGAGACGGAGAAGCCACTGACGAAGGAGAAGGCCACCAGCTGGACGCATAGCCCCGTGGTCACGATGACTCGGTAGCGCAGGGGGTGGCAGACGGCCACGTAGCGGTCGTAGGCCATGCAGGCCAGGAGCACGCACTCGGTGCACACCAGGGAGCTGAAGAAGTAGAGCTGAGTCATGCACCCGACGAAGGAGATGCGTCTGCGCTGCAGGAGGAAGCCGTCCAGCATCTTGGGGATGATGTCACACACATACCAGATCTCCAGGGAGGACATGGTGCCCAGGAAGTAGTACATGGGCCGGCGGAGGGAGGGGCTGGCCCAGACAGTGAGGATGACGGCCAGGTTCTCCAGCAGCACGAAGAGGTAGGCGAGCAGGAAGAGCAGGAAGAGCAGGTGCTGCAGCCGCGGGACTGTGGGGAATCCCGCCAGGACAAAGGCGCTGACCCTGCTCGCGTTCTCGCCCGTCATCCTTCTGTGCCGGGAGCCCAGGGCTGAAAAACAAGTTCATGCCAGGCGGGGGCGAGGGCGGCTGGGGAGAGGAAGCGGAGCTCAGCCTGAGGGCGTTGTGGCCCAGGATGGGGCCCTGGCTCCACCAGCAGCAGGGGTTGGGGCAGAAAGTGTCTCCAAGTGAAGCCTTTACCGTCTGAACGTGGAGGTTAGGTCTCCTGGGGCCCGTGACTCTAAGAGTGGGGCTGGGAGCACCCTGCCCACCGCCTCCCCCAGCTCTCCCACAGTGGTCCTGAAACTGCCCAGTTGCTTTTAGAACCTGGAATTTTCCAGGGACTCTAAGAGCAATGACGGACGAGCACAGCTCTGCGCAACCAGGGCCGTCTGGTCCGTAGATAATCATCATTTTAATCACCTGGTTCCAGAGAGGACTTTATAAGAAGAAGGGACACCAGTCGGGCTCACGGGATGGTGGGGGGACGGGACCCAGGTTAGCCAGACCCCAGACCCAGGCTCTGCACGGGGCCGGAGATGGGGCTGCAGGAGCCTCCAGGCTGAGAGAGGAGGTGGTCGCGTGTCTCCCTCTGTGACATCTCAAGTCCCCCTTAAAATAATCTACAGGAGTGAAAAATTAAACCCCATAACAGCAAAAAGATCCAGAGGGGCTATCAGCAATGGGGCCGTCAACACAGTTCTGGAGGAGAGAAAAGAGAAGGCAGGGGGTGGCCAGGGCAGCAGAGGAGGGTGTCTAGAATGTCCTCAAGGGGCCTGTAGCTGAGGGAGGGGCCAGGTGCCCCGCATGGGGCAGGCGTGAAGGAGACTGTGAGGGGGACATGAAAGCAGGGCTCCTGCGTGCAGTGTTTCCAGAACAGTGCTGCCCCGCACACTCCGTCCTGCGGGTGGGACCTCGGAGTCAGAAGGGACCACGTCGCCCTTATCCCGTGTCACGTGTACTCACATAAGTCACCCCCCTGTAGTCCTCACTGTGGCCCCGGGAAAACAAGGCTCACAGCTCCATTTCCAGATGAAAATCTGAGGCTCGCAGTGAAAGAGTCATGGACTTACCCAAGGTCACACGGGTCTTCAAACGCCGGGGCTGTGGCTCTTCCCGGGATGTCACCAAGAGAAAACATGAGCCCATCTGGGTGTGGCTGGGAGTTCGGAATTCTTAGGGTGGGCAGAGTCTGTGGTTGCCCTCTGTCACTACCCTAACAGGTGACAAGAGCAAAAGTCACAAAATAGACAGAACTACTGTGAAGAAAAGGCAGAGGTGTAGGCAGTGTTCACTTACGGCTTCATCATGCAGATGAGGAAGACCACGGCAGGAGCTTAGACTGTGACTGGAGGTAGGCACGTTAGAGCCTCAGAGTGACGACTTTCTGAGAAAACTGACACAGGAAGACAAGAAGCTCCACGTAACCGTGATGGGAGTACAGGGGTGGTCGGAGATGCTCCAGAGAAAGCCGGTGGCCCCCAGACACGTCACTGGCACGAGTCTTCCATTTCCGTCACGTTTTGTAAACTGTCACAGAGCATGGAAATGTCTCCCCAGTTCATTTCACAAAGCGGCAAATTCCTTTGCACAGAAGGGAGCTATATGCCAACGATCTGTTTTTTTTTTTTCACTGTAGTTAGAAAGCTCAGGTAAAAGCAGCAGGCAGCACCCGCAGCACAGGAAGGGCACGTGCCACGTGCAAGCCTGGTTTATCTCGGGGGTCCAGGGGGCGGTCAGGCCAGCGGAGCTGCTAAAATGATCGCATGAGAGCCTAGCCGCTGTGGAAAAGCCTTTGGTTTAAAACGATTCCAATTTTTTGTACATTTTTCATCCCAAATAAGTGACTCATTTTAATATATAAATCTCTGACTCAGTCAACAGCCGGTAACAGCCCGCAGTTAATACCAGTCACTCCCAGCCACTGAGGTCAGGACGGAGACGGGTCCCCTCTCGAAACCGCTGTTGTGTAACAGCGCTGCCCTCGGCTACCTACTGCAAGATGGATAAAGAAACAGAAAAGATCATCATTATTTCCAGATAGCGTGGCTTCTCACCTAGAAAATCTGGAATGATTATAACTGACTGTGGGATTTCAGATGGATGTGAACTCTGTAGTCTGCCTGTATTCCTGCAGTTAATAATTAGAATGTTCCTTGATGAAAAAAACATGGCAAAGCTGTCAGTATCTCCAAATAGATTTTAAACTTTAGCTCGATTATGGTTGAATCTCACCAAACTTTATTTTTCTTAAAACAGAGTGCAATAATTCCTAAAATCGTCTGCAAGTATGAACAGATGGGAAGAGTGAAGAAAGCTCAGAAAAAAGAAAGCAGATTAATGAAGAGGAACGTGCTGTTTTGGAGACAAGAAACTGTGATAAACGTGAAACCGATAGTTCAACAAATTAAGTATTAGAAATGACGAGGGCTGCCGTTTAATCAACGGCGCAGTGTGGAAGCAGTATAGGGAGCCCTAAGTCAGAGCTCCCCTGATACAATTAGGGAGGAAAGCGTGGGTCGCTTAATCAGTGATGCACAGTCGTTGGTGAAACATTTGTTAAAAAAGAAAAAAAAGCCCCGTCTCCGTGTGTCACATCAGAAGACAAGGCTGCGACGGCCAAAGCGCCCGTGCGCGCGGGCCTCGCGTGGGGAGAAGAGTGAGAACTGAACGAGCCTGAGCGCCCCTCCCGGCCCCGCTCTGTTTTACGCCCCCGTCTCATCCTACATTTCATTTCAGAAAATTTTTTTTTTAACGGAGGCACTGGGGAGTTGAACCCGGGACCTTGTGCGCGCTGAGCATGCGCTCTACCGCTGCGCAGTTTCCTTCCTCACCCCAGAAAACTCTTTATACCCTCACTTTGACCATCGTTTTGGAAAATCAGAACATTCCACACAGAAGCACAGATTTCCGGTTTCTCGTGAAAAAATGCAAGATCTGGGGCAACACAGGTGGGCGTCCCCGCGCACCCCGAGAGGCGGGCCCTTTGGACGCGGTGAGAGCCGCTCCGGCTCCCCAGGCCGCCCCTCAGTTGGCCTGGCAGCTGCCAACTCCTGTGTCACCTGGTTCCAGCTGTGGGTGCGGGGTCCCGCGGTGATGCGCCGCCTCCTCAGGCCCAGCCTCCCGCGCTGCTTCGGCCCCGCAGCCCCGCTTTTCTCCCCCCGTGTCTCCTCCCCTTTGCTGTTGGCTCCGCTCAGCCGTCATCCTTCTCTGAGACTCTGCATCTTGCAGGCGAAGAGCAGTCTCCCCGTCGAGCCCTCCTCCCTCTCATCCTTAGACAGACGCCCTCCCTCGGCCCCGCCCCGCGGCCCCGCCCCTGGCTCCTGACCTGCAGCCCCGCCCCGCGGCCACGCCCCTG